CGCCCCACCGCCCCGCGGCCACCCGGCCACCGCCACCGCCTCCTCCTCATCATCATCATCCTCCTCCTCGGGGCGGCGCGGGGACGCCGCGGCCTCCACCTTCTCCTCGGGGTGAGACGTGGCCTCCACCTTCTCCTCGGGGTGAGACATGGCCTCCACCTTCTCCTCACGGTGAGACGTGGCCTCCACCTTCTCCTCAAGGTGAGACGTGGCCTCCTCCTCCTCACGGTGAGACGTGGCCTCCACCTTCTCCTCAAGGTGAGACGTGGCCTCCGCCTTCTCCTCGAGGTGAGATGTGGCCTCCACCTTCTCCTCAGGGTGAGATGTGGCCTCCACCTTCTCCTCGAGGTGAGATGTGGCCTCCTCCTTCTCCTCAGGGTGAGACGTGGCCTCCACCTTCTCCTCAGGGTGACATGGGGACACCATGGCCTCTACCTTCTCCTCAAGGTGAGACGTGGCCTCCTCCTTCTCCTCAGGGTGACATGGGGATGCTGGGGCCTCCACCTTCTCCTCACGGTGAGACGTGGCCTCCTCCTTCTCCTCGAGGTGAGACGTGGCCTCTTTCTCCTCCTTGGGGTGACATGCAGTCGCCTCCTCCTCCTCTTCCTCCTTGGGGTGACGTGGGGACACCGTGGCCTCCACCTTCTCCTCAGAGTGACACGGGGACATCGTGGCCTCCACCTTCTCCTCAAGATGAGACGTGACCTCCTCCTCCTCCTCCTTGGGGTGACGTGGGGACGCCGTGGCCTCCACCTTCTCCTCGAGGTGAGATGTGGTCTCCTTCTCCTCCTCCTTGGGGTGACGTGGGGACACCGTGGCCTCCACCTTCTCCTCAAGATGGGATGTGGCCTCTTTCTCCTCCTTGGGGTGATGTGCGGCCTCCTCCTCCTCCTCCTCTTCCTCCTTGGGGTGACACGGGGCCTCCTCCTCCTCCTCAGGGTGACACGGAGACACGGTGGCCTCCTCCTTGGAGTGACGCGGGGACGCCACGGCCTCCACCTTCTCCTCGGGGTGACACGGGGACCTCATGGCCTCCTTCTCCTCCAGGTGAGATGTGACCTCCTCCTCCTCCTCGGGGTGACACGGGGACGCCGTGGCCACCGTCACCTCCTCGGGGCGACGCGGGGACACCACGGCCTCGGCCTCCTCCTCTTCTTCCTCCTCCTCCTCCTCCTCCTCCTCGTCGCCGCCCGGGTGACGCCCTGGGGACTCCATGGCCGCCTGCGGGGGGGCGGGAAGGGGCCACGTGGCTCCTCAGGCCCCGCCCACACACCCCAGAAGGGGCGGGGCATGGATAACACATACCCCCCCCCACCCCCGCAGCACTGGGGGCCTGGCCTCTAGGCCCCGCCCCCTCCAAATAAGCCACGCCCCCTCATAGAGCATCACCCAACCACGCCCCAGCTGTTCTCTAAGCCCCGCCCCCCGGGTAGAAGCCACACCCACCGGCTCCATAGCCCCGCCCCATGGAGGCAGGTGTCACCGGGAGG